ATCTGTGGCAACCTGCTATTGGAGGTGATACGAGCATCCTCCAATAGCAAGCCCCAGTTTATAGATGGCTCACATCCACATCCTTGTCCACAGAAATTGGACCCATGTCCATCTTTTGATCCACATCCTTACCCACGTCCTTATTAACAAAAATGGACCCTGCACATCCTTATCTGCATTCTTAAGCACAAAAATGAACCCATCCTTAGCCACATGATGGCCCACACCCTCGTCCACAAAAAATGGACCCCTTCCTATCAACATTCTTATCCACAAAAATGGACCCATCCTTATCCACATCCTTATCCACAAAAATTCGCCCATCCTTATCTGCATATTCTTTTTTTTTTTTTTTTTTTTTTTTTTTTTTTTTTTTTTTTTTTTTTTTTTGTGAAGGACTTTGTATTGCAAATTCCGCAAAGGAGGATGGGAGTCCTCACAAACAACCGGGGGTGTCACTGGGGCCAGTACCCAGTATAGGCTCCTGCTGAAGACCGGGTCCAGCTCCCTCCTTTCTCTCAAAACAGTCGTCCTCCATACTCCTTGAAAGCACAAAAAAAAGGGGGAGGAGAGTGACCAAGCCCAAATTAAACCACCAGTGCTTGGCCCAGCTATTGATGCCGAGCCGGGATGCCCCCTGCGCGCCAAGTTTTGCCGAGCCGCTGGGGCACCGTTTCGTTTTGATTTTGGCTGGCGCTTCCAGCCATTGTGCTTCGGTGCCCCGAAGCGCGCATTTACTGGCGCGTTAACGGGAATCGCCCGCGGCCAATAGCTGGGCCAAGTACTTGGTGGTTTAAACCTTTACAACGCAAAACTAGCCGGGTTGGTCACCAAAAGCAGCAGGCAATAGTAGCCGCAATACATCTATATAGGGGGAGGGTAGACGCGATCCAGAAAATAGAGAGGCACGGAGCGAACACCTATAACACCACCGGGCTTCGCTGACCCTATGTTTAGCCGGTGTCCTGCAGACTCCTAGCCTCACCCTTTAACAGCCAGGGAGCAATTATTAAATTACCTTCGTTGGTGACATTGGCCAACCTGTTTACCCGCTCGCCCTTGTTCTAAGAACCCAGTTTGTGCCCTCACTTTTAGCATTGGCATCTTCCCCAATCTGCGTGGATAGCTCGGGCCGCTCGGCGGGTATTCTCTTTCACTTGTCAATGAGTGGTCTGCTTGTGAAATACCGTGTCGTCCTCCCCAAATACTTTTGTGTTCCTGGCAGCCCAAATCGTTTCCAACATGACGGTCACCCCACGACAAACCAAGGTGACATATCCCCAGCCGCCCGAGATGTCTGTGTTCTGGGAGCCTCAGGTTGTACCATAGAGAATCCAGTCATCTGTCCAATTGAACTCTTGACCTGTAATCTTCTTCCAGTGGGAAGTCCACCAGTCCCATAACTGCTCTGCCAAAGGGCAGAGCAGCCATAGGTGTTTGGCGGACTCCCATGATCCCCAACTGCACCTGCAACAGGTATCAGCAATCTCCATACCTTTACTTGCCAGCCATGTTGCAGTAGGCATGACCTGCATAAACTGTTTCCAGATTAACCTCGCCTGTTTCTGAGACGGCAGGCGTTTGAGTGTTTTCCACAACTTTTCCCAGTCAGGCATCGTGGACTCACTACCTTAATCTTTCACAAACCCTCTAGTGGCCTTGGCTATTGGAGTATGATCATGGATGATGCTTTCTGTACCGCCACCCCCACCTTTGGTCTATACTTTATTAGTGAAACGGGGTCGGCTAGACCTGTTCTCCCCTTCTAAAGATGTGGATGGCTCCTTCAGTAGGTGAGGTCTTCCAAGCAAACAGGATTTTCCTCCAGACTCTCGACTTGGGACGCCTTGTAGTATATGACTGGAGCAGGAGGCACAACCATACATGCATACCTTGAGAGAGGTCCCACTCCCTCCCTAAAATATACTCTGCAAACAGGATCCACAGTCTAGGCTCAGTTTCCCTCATCGCCTGGGCCGGCCATTTTGCCAAAAGCGCTAATTTAATTCTGCCGCTTAGGATCCAAGATCCCCAAACCACCCTAGTTTCTGGGCAGGGTGATTGAGTCTCACTCCACCTTCGAGATAACGTTGTCTTCTTCTATAGCAGAAGGTTTCCAGACATACCTGGTACCTGCTCTCTTTATCTTAGAGTAGGCATTGTTCCCTAATAAGGGGATTGTTAGTGAGAACCATAAAATAGAGAATGCTGTGGTGGATAACCCAAGGACCCTGCCAAATAGCGAGGGTTTAACTCTTAATCCATCCCGTTATCCAGCCTAAGTCCCACACAAAACTCAAAGGGGGGGGTAAAAAATAAACTGACTTATCCCAATGTATCGAGGCTTCAGACAACAAGCACTACTCATCCAAAACTTTTTGCAACTCAGAAAGGACCCTTGGAGTGTTTTCAACAGTGACCGTAAGGTCGTCAGCTATAGCTCCACCTTTCCATTGGAGAGTCGGGTTAGTGATAGACCTTTGATACTTGGGTTGGATCTAATATTATCCAAGAGAGTTTCTAATGGAATTACAAGCAGCAACGGCACCAAAGGGCAGCCCTGACGAAGTGACCAGGTCAATCTAAATTCGCTTTTGTGTACATTGCCTTCACCCATCTGCAAAATCGTTGGTCGAAACCCCGGTTTTGGAGGGTGGTGAAGACAAATGTCCAGCCTGCCTTATCGTAGGCTTTCTCCATATCCAGTAGTAGCACGGCGACTTTTCTTTTCTCTTTGTTGATTACCTCTAGGGCCTGAATCGTTGTAAGGATATTTTCAAAGATTGACCTCCCCTTCACAAAGGAACCCTAAATTCCCAACCAATCAGTTTAAAAAAAAAAAAAAAAAAAAAAAATTGGGGAGGAGATCCGCCAATGTTATTGCTATAGCCTTGGCCAGGAGCTTGTACACCAGATTCAACGCTGATATTGGCCTATAATTCCTTACTTCTTTTTTAATATCCCCTTTTTTATGAAGTAAAAGATCAATCCCCTTTTTTATGAAGTAAAAGATCACTCCCTGGGGATACATTTAGGTAGATGCACCGTGACCGAGGCTTTATTATAGATTGAACGAAGGAAAGGGGCAAATGCATCCCATGTCGAAAGAAAGAGCTCGACTGGCAAACCGTCTATGCCGGGGCATTTACCCACCGTTTGTTTGACTGCTCTCCACAGTTCTGGTGTCGTTAACGGTTTCTCCAGCCTTAGACAGTCCGAATTCGAAATTCTTGAATGAGAGGGCTGCCGAAAATCAGAGTCCTCAGACAAATCTGTCTCAGGTGTATTGAAGATACTACACGTGGATACATAGTTGGTTGTACCAGCTCTCCGATAGGGGGTCTACTTTATCGTAGAGTCAAAAATCTAAATGTCATTTTGGTCATTCGGTCATGTACCATAATTATACCTATAATCTTCAGCCACTCCAGCCACTGGGACTGTTTCTGCACCTCCAAAGCTTTCAATTTTGTCAGGTTGGCTTTCCTTTTTTGTGACCAAAAGTAATCAGAGAAGGAATCCCTCCCCATTTTACTTTCTGCTTCCGCCACATCTTTGGTTAAACATTTTTTTGTCCATGTACGGTTAGCCGTCTTCATCTTGAAAAGAACTTGGAGAGCGGCTTGGATTATTCCCAAACCCACTTCCACCCATCTTTCTTCCTCCTCAAATAAATCTAAAAGGAGACATGTGCCTATTAATGATATCCTTTGAGATTATGTCCATCAAAACTGGGTAGTGATCAGAGAGGGAGGAAACAAAAAAATCAGACCAAATGCATCTCTCTCACACCACGCCCCGCGCCATAATAAAATCTAATCTTTTTCGGGGTTCTCGTGTTGTCGGAGAGGGCTTCGGACCGTACCAAGTATAGTCATTAGAGTCTGGATTCATGCCTATGTAAACATCTGTTAGAGTTTGAGATTCCAAGAAGGCCGCAAGCATTTCCTTGTTTTTCCTCAATGGTGTTGGCGAGGGGGTATCTAGGCCCGAGTTCAAGACGGTATTCCAATCGCTTGCGATTATCAACTTTTCCACATCTGGTATACATGACGGCATGTCTGCGAGTAATCTGATGCGTTCGCTGTAGTCTACTGGAGCATAGACTGTCATGACTGCTCAGTCCTCTTGGTCTACAGAAACCTTAACCTCGAC